CATGTATCAAAATAAAAAGAGCTGGTAATGTGGCTAGGGGGTTAAGTGCACCAAGGTTCAACCCCTCGTACCAAAAAAAAGTTGTAAAAATTACAAAATATGAATTATTGGCATTCAACTATAGGGACCGGTAAATTATAGCAAATCTATGACAGGACACTATGAGGTCATCAAAAGTGATGTCACAAAATCATTTAACAGTTAAGAGAGGCTAGCGTTGCTTAAAGTATGAGGCACTGGGTTTATTCTCAGCACAGCATATAAATAAGAGAACAAAGGTCCATCAATAACGTAAGAAAAAAAATTAGGAAAATGTTCTTTAAAAATACAAAAAGCAGGTTACAAAACAGTTTCTGTGGTATACAATACCAAATAAATAACTATCAAAAATGTCACTGAAATTCACTGGAAATATCAAGCCAGACAGATCCAATGCTTGAAGCCTCTATACCACTGAATTAGAATATATGACAAAATAAGTCAGTAATAATAGATTAAAATGGCTGTGGTTCTGACTGCTTCAGTTTGTTTTGGCAAAACACCAGTCCAATCATAGAATTAGTCCAGCCTAAGCAACTCAATCACAGAATTTTAGACAACTGTGACATCATCATCAGGATCAAGTTTAATTTCTTCCCTACTTATTGTTGAGCTACTGTTCCTATTTGTCATGAATACCTTTTTTGCACACTTGTAAATAATACAAAGGTGTACATACAAACACCCTATCTGTGAGTTTAATGCCTCATTAAGCTAAGTTCCATTCTTATGAAATTTGTTCTTAGAAGCCTAATTAAAGAATCTAAGAACAGTTATGTAAGAATGTTAAGGATATTAGTAACCAATAAGAAAAGTAAGGCAATACTGAATGAAATGGTAACTGGGCTTAGAAGTAATCTTAAGCACCTTCCTGAAACCCCAGCAGCTCTTCTTACAGAAAGTAAACTAAAATATAATCTGACATGAGTATAAAAATTTTGATTTTTTGTTTGGTGGTTTATTTACCAGCCCAAGAGAAATTGAGATATTCACTGATCAACAGTCTTTATTAAATGTTTTTGAAGAACTATTAATAACAGACTCATAAAAAAACACCCAACACACCCCAAAAGTTCTTTTTTCCCCCTTGAACCCAGGCAGGGCACATGCCAAGGCAAACACTACCCCTGAACTACATCCCCAGGTCTAAGAATTAGTTATCTTTTAATAAAGACCTTAAGCTTTTATTATTACAACTCTTCCAAGAAAACATAAAAAAGCTGGACAATTCTAACATATGTCTACTTTTGGTGGGGGGAGTGGGAGATAAATGAAGATGGGATCCAAGGGTACTCTACTACTGAGCTTTGTTCCCACCACTTATTTTTTGAGTCAGGGTCTCACCAAGTTGCCCAGGCTAGCTTTGAACTTAGGATCCTCCTGCTTCAGCCTCCCAAACAGATGGAAACACAGGCATGTAACACTGAACTTGGTTGGCCCCATACCCGTTTACAAAGTTCAATTATCATTCACTGAATCACTCGAGAATTTAATCCAAACATCCTTATATCAACTAAGTAGACCTGACATATAGTTGAAGTTTTACACCAAGAAACTGGAAATAATGTAATTTCAAGTTGAAAACAGAACTGAAATGCCTAAATACCATGATAGAATCCTATAAAAAGTTATAGCTTCAGAAGAAAAACCTGAAAGGCCCTTTTAAATATGACACCATTTATTGAATCAGGTTCCAACTTTGTTTGCAGTTCTGAAAATGACAGTTAAATAAAGTAAAATGATATTAAAAAAAATATATCAACTAAGTAGCAAGGTCCAGCTACTCAGAAAGCTGAGGCAACCACAAGTTTGAGGCCAGCCTGGGCAACTTAGCTGAACCATTTCAAATAAATAAAGGGCTGGGGATGCATCTCAGTGTAGGGTCCACCCCCAAGTTCAATCTCCAGTACCACAAAGTTAAAAAATATACATATATATGGATTGGGGTTGCAGTTCAGTGGTAGAGTACTTGTGGTCCCTAAATCCAATTCCTAGTGCTGCAAAATTTTTAAATAAGAGTCAACATTAATTAACAGTACCCAAGTTTTTGGTGCCCCCCCAAACTTCATTTTGAAACCCAGGTTTCCCCTTTGGGTCATAACACACAGAACTTACCTTTAACATCTATACTATGCATTCCTTTAAAAACAAATAACACTTTCCTCTTTGCCCTCCTGCTTTTAATAAGAGGTAGGACAAACCAAGCACAGTGGCACACTCCTGCATCCAGCGACTTGGGAGGCTGAGGCAGGAGTAATAAAGTTTGAGGCCAGCCTAAGCAACTCAAGGAGACCCTGTCTCAAAATAGAAAATAAAGAGAGCTAGGGATGTAACTCAGTGTAAAGCACCCTGGGTTTAATCCAAAGAAGAAAAAAAAAGGCCGGACTTTTGCCACCAGGAGTTAAGGTTTTTTATTTTGAATTGTTTTATTTTTTTTTTTTTTTATTTAATTGGTTTTTTTTTTTTTAAGTTTTAAGTGGATACAATCTATTTTTTTCAATGTGGTGCTGAGGATCAAATCCAGTGCCTCATGCATACTAGGTGTGCACTCTACCACTGAGCTACATCCCCAGCTCCTGAAATGGTATAATTTTCAAGTGGTTAAACCAAGCATCTAAAAGGCCCTCATAGATGTTCATAATAATCTGCTATGCCACAACATGATACCTATGAAAATCATGACCTTCTATCTTCTTATCCTGTAGAAACAGGAGCCTGAGAAGATATCTTTAAAATCCTTCAGAATCAGTAAACTATCATTTTCTACAAGATTATATTTTTTTATGAGCTTTATAGTTATACATAGCAGATTTATCCTAACAAATCCATACTCGCATGGAATTCAATTTCAGTTCATGATTCCCACCTTACATTAACTTCTAAACTATTAAAACTTTGGGGTAAGAGCCAGGCACAGTGGTGCACACCTATAATCCCAGCAATTCAGGAAGCTAAAGCAGAATCTCCAAGTTCAAGGGCAGCCTCAGCAACTCAACAAGACACTTTCTAATACTTATAGTGAGACCCTATCTCAAAATAAAAAACCACTTTGGGGTAAGAGAGGACTTGTTATCAGACAATGTTTTTGCTATCAACTTTTCAATAACCTGGCACTCCATTACCAATGCTTTTAGTGTCATGACAAGTATATCTCCATTTCTTATTCATCTGTTCATACTAGAAAGCAAGATGGCAACTATCCTTACTTTAGTTGAAAATTATGCACCTCCAAATAATATCTACCAAAGAGCCCTTCACCCATTGCTCAAGGGAATTATTAATAATCTTGAGGCATGAGGCCTCAGATCCTATACCTTATACAAGATCTGTATGAATTCATACAAATTTAAGGAAAATACTTTTACATGAACTTAGTAATTTTTTTTTTAATATCTAAAGTTAACCAACCCAGGACTCTCAGAAAAATGTTCTCTTTTGTCCATAATCTTTTCATCTATTTTCTTCCATTTAAGAATATCTATGTGGGAGCTGGGATTGTGGCTCAGTGGTAGCCTAGCATGTACAAGGCCCTGGGTTCGATCCTCAGCACCACATAAAAATAAATAAAGATATTATTTCCAACTACAACTAAAAAATAAATTTTTTTTTAAAAAAAGAGTAATCTATGTCGGTCATGGTAGCTCACAACTGTAATCCTAGGGACTAGTGAATCTGAGGCAGGAGGATCACAAATTCAAGGATAGCCTCAGCAATTTAGTGAGATACTGTCTCAAAAATAAATGAGAAATGGCTGGGGATATGGCTCAGTGGTTAAGTGCCCCTGGGTTCAATCCCTGATTACCACCTCCTCCCCCTGCAAAAAGGCTAAGTACTAGATAATATCCAATCTGCCCAACCAGTATTTTTTTGTTTAATCATGGTCTCAAAAGTTTACATTTACTCAGTAATATCCATAAAACAAGCATTACCAACTCTCTCAAATAAACACTTCAGTTTGGATTCATTCTCTATTCTGCCCAAGATTCCCACTTTACAGAGGAATCAGTAAAAAGTGATTCTTGGAATACAAAAAAAATGTCAGAAACAGGAGATGAGATTTTTCTGAATATCTATTTACCAAGTTTTATATAACAAAAGTAGTTTCTATGGTTGCAGATGTGGCTCAGTGGTGAGTACTTGCCTAGCTGGGTTTGATCCCCAGCACTCTGGAGAGCAGAGATTACACTGAAGATCACAAAGAACAGAACAAGAAAGTTCTGAAAAACACTGCCACTGTCACAGGAAAGCCAGAAGATTTCAGGGGTTGGTAACATACCAATTTTTTTTTTTTTTAATGGAAAAAAATATTTTTTTTAACATTTTTTTTCTTAGTTGCAGTTGGACAGAATACCTTTATTTTATTTACTTATTTTTATGTGGTGCTGAGGATCAAACCCAGAGCCTTGCATGTGCCAGGCAAGTGCTCTACCGCTGAGCCACAACCCTAGCCCAGAATTTTAATATTTATTTTTTGGTTATCGGCGGACACAACATCTTTGTATGTGGTGCTGAGGATCAAACCCGGGCCGCACGCATGCCAGGCAAGTGCACTACCACTTGAGCCACATCCCAGCCTGACCAATTCTTAAAAATAACCACAAAACCCCACCAAGCCAATAATTCATTCCAATGGAGAACTTCCTTATTTTTCTCTCCCATATTACAACCTTAATGTCTTTCTACTTTAATTTCCATCATTCTATCACTTCAATTATTCCCTTTGCATTTCACCTTTCTGCATCAAACAAGTACAGTTTAAGTCCATATTTGTCTCCCATGAATGTTCTCACCTTCCTTCACACTAGGATTCAAATATTAAGACCAATTATACTTCCATAAAGCCTTGAACTGTTAAGTGATGTTATTTACAGAGCTTTTATTAGCATTCACTATAATATCTCTCCTGTTCTCTCTAGTCCCTCCTCCTTCCTTAAAAATCTTAAGAATGGTAAGCTGGTTACCTTTTTAACACTTTCTTCTTCCTCTTGGCGTTTCTCATAGTGTGAGAAATCATCGAAAATGGAAGTGGTGTGCTTGTAGCTGGCTATGATTTTCAACACCTGCTTTGCCTTTTCCAGAGGCACTTCCTGAGTGTCTCTAGAGTTGGTCACTGGTTTATTCTCGTTGTTCTCTAGACGAATGTGTCGCAGTTGACTATTGGGAACGTCCTTCACAAAAATCCATCTGACATCAAAACGACCCTTCCATTTGTCCTGGGACCACACGCCTGCACATGTGTTGTAGTCCACAGCAGATTTCATTTCTGCAACGCCACAGAAGTGTCCACTGCCGTTGACACTGAAAAGTAAGTAAACGGGGCCTTTCCCGTTCATGGAACGATAAGCAGCATCCAGTCTCTTGTTACCATGCTCTGTGCTGCACCAGATATTATACTTAATGGAACGGTGGATATCGTCCTCAGAGTAGCTTTTAATGATGAAAACCCGGCCATGTTTCAGATTCCAGTCAAAATCCTTGGGGTTATAATTATTAATGGACCGCAGCTTCTCCAACACTGGGTGAGGTTCGGAAGGAGTAGATCCAGAACCAGTCTGAGACTGTCCTACTCCATTACCATCCACCCCATTATGACCAAACCCTGTGCCACGGTTCCGAGGTGCTACCCAGCGGGTTGGCTGAGCTGCCTGTTGCTGGACTGAGATTTGGGCAGGCTGTGGTGGAGGTGGAGGCAATGGCTGTGTCTGTTGCCCTACTGATGCCTGAGCCACTGGTGGGCTATTGTTAGCCTGCTGACCTACAGGCTGGGGAGACCCCTGGGTTGGCTGACCTATATTCTGAACCAAAGCCTGTGAGGGGGCTTTTGCCACAGGACCCTTGTTATCCCAAGTTCCAATATCCATGTTATGCTTTATTGGGGGTGGTGGAAGACTTGACCCTGCAATACCATTCTTGGTCTTCAGCTTGGGTTGTTGTTTTGCAGGCTTGCTAGCAATATCAGCCCAAGATGCTGGTTTTGGAGGAGCAATGGTAGCCGGAGGCAAACTATTGGAAGCCACGATGTTACTAGTAATTGACCCACTACCAACAGCAGAACCTACAACTTTTGGAACACTGCTTGCAACTTCTGTGCTACCCAGCTTCAGAGCTGCCATCCCTTGGTCTATAGTATTCATGCCAGGAGCCTTATTGAGGGTCTCATTGGCAAAAGCTGACTGTCCATCAATCATGGCTCCACCTAAGGAGCTAGGTGCATAAGCATAATTGCTACTATATCCAGAGCTCTGAGTAGACTGTCCCTGAGAACTGTTATTTCCCCATGCTGAGAAGTCGATCCCACTAGGAAAAAAATTAAAACCATGCTGACCAAGAAATGGAGTGCTACCTAGGGCTCCTGGCTGCCCAAACATTGCATCTGGTAGGAAGTGGGGCTCTCCGTTGCTCAGCTGTCCATAAGAAGTTAGATAGGGCATGGCTGTGTCACCCCCCGTAGACCAAGCAGCTTCACCCAAAGAATAGGAGAAGCCAATGGAGGGGCTGTAGTAACTGGGTAAGTAGGAGTCTGACATAGCAGTATATGCATTATTCTGTGGAAGAAAGAAAGAAGCAAATCAATCAAAAAAATAACAGGACATTTTCTCCCCCATTAATCAAGTATTTCAGCCAAATCTACCATTAAAAAAAAAAAAAAAACAGGAGAACAGCACATTCAATAATCTCTTTCTGTAAACTCACTGGTGTCCTTGTATTCTAAGGAATTTTGGTACGTTAAGTGAAATGTTTAAGCATTATAATTAAGCTGATATGTAGAATAAATATGAACCTTAACTTTAATACATTCAGGAAAAAAAACACCCATTTCATCAAAAGTTATGTCTTGCTCTATGTTAAGTGTTGGACTGAGACTTTTATTAAAATCAATTATCAATTTAGAAAGAGAAAAAAAACTATCAGAGGGAGGGAGGAGAGGAACCACTGAGGAGTAAAATAAAACAAATTATATTCCATGCATATATGATTATGTCAAAACAAACTCCTTTATTCTCTATTATGTATAACTACAATACATTAACAAGACATTTAAAAAATAATAATTATCTTTGGATTTAAGGAGTGGGACTTTTGGAAGAGCAGGAGTATTTATGTTTCCTACCAAAACCAGATTAATAGGTCCATGGGGGGGTGGGGGGACTGGGAATTTTAAGATCTAACACAAGCATTAATCATAAAATTTTGTGCTATCCTCTTAGAAAACCATCTAGGAATGTCAAAAAATGCCACTATAATTATAACCTGGAAAGAAAATGTTCAGTGGCTTCCAAAGGACTTAAAATGAGAAAACTTTTATTTCACCTATAAAATCAAAGATCTGTAACTTGAGATGCACAATTTTCTATTAGAAATAGGAAAAGTATAATTAAAGACAACATATACCCACACTCCTTTAAAAAAAATAAGTAGTCAAAATATGAATTCATGTACAATTAATCTTCATGTTAGGATATAGATTTTATTACAAAAACCTCAATCACTAGATCTTTAGTTTGTGCCTAACAGAATTTTTAAATAAATCTTAAGAGCTTACAGGACACCCTTTAAGTGAAAAGCCAAAAGTATGTAAACCTTGACATAGATAAAAGACACCTAACTCGAATAGTTCTGATAATTTAAGGATTCATTAACTAGTCAATTGAATCTTAAATAAGAGTCTAAGATACTACCTAAGCTTGTATTCCCAAGGTCAATAATACTCTTTAGCCATAAAAAACACATCTCTTCAATATTAAAAATTTCCAGGGCTACGGTTGTGGCTCAGTGGCAGAGCACTTGCATCGCGCATATGAGACACTGGGTTTGATCCTCAGCACCACATAAAAATAAACAAAATAGGGGCTGGGGGTGTGGCTCAAGTAGTAGCTATTCGCCTAGCATGCGTGAGACCCTGGGTTCAATTCTCAGCACCACATAAAAATACTGTGTCCACCTAAAACTAAAAAATAAATATTTAAATAAATAAATAAGCAAAATAAAGATACTGTGTCCATGTATAACTAATGTTTTTTTAAAAAATTAAACTAATGGGATATGATAAAATGGCTGCATTTTCCTTGGCCAATTAAATTTGTCATTAAAGACAAAGTTAAAACTTTTCACACATTTCCTCTCAAATTTAAAAATTCTCCAAGACAGTGTTAAAATTTTAACACAGACCCAAATCCATTACGTATAAGAAACTCAGTAGGGGCTGGGATGTGGCTCAAGCGGTAGCGCGCTCGCCTAGCATGCGTGCGGCCCGGGTTCGATCCTCAGCAGCACCACATACCAACAAAGATGTTGTGTCCGCCGAGAACTAAGAAAAAATAAATAAATGTTAAAATTCTCTCTCTCTCTCTGTCCCCCTCTCACTCTCTCTTTAAAAAAAAAAAAAAAAAAAAAAAAAGAAACTCAGTACTCAGGAGGCTGAGACAAGAGAATTCCAAGTTCAAGGCCCACCTAGGCAATTTAGCAAGACTCTGTCTCAAAATAAAAAATAAAAGGGGCGGGACATAAAAAATAAATAAAGTTGTAAATGAATTAACGTGTAAAGCCCTGGGTTTCAGCCACATGCCAAAAGAAGTACACAAAACTATTCTTGATAAAGTACACAAAACTATTCTTGATAAACTACAAAAAAAAAATCTTTCTTCATCTACTCATTCAACATTTCTATTTCTCCCCCGTTTTTTAAAAAACGGGTATTTAAGCTTTTAAAGAAAACTTAAATGCACTTAATATCAGAGATTATGCCAAACTATAGCTGAATGCCTACACCTGAACTGGTAGGTTCCTATGTACCCCTGAGCTCAAAAAATCTGAATTATGCAATGTTTTACAAGAATTACCTCAAATTGTGTTTCTAAATGTTCCCACTCTCCCTGTTATAATGATTATATAAGTAAACTACTTCAATATCAGGAATCTATTAGTAGTTCATTCCTCTACTTCCTTCCCTATTTTTCTTGATTAACTGGATGCCTTTTCTGAAATTTTTCCCAATCACTTAGGAGGTTTTATTTTGTTGCAACACTAGGGATCAAACCCAAGGTCTCATGCATGCCAGCCACTGAACCAGATACCTAGCCCTACTTAGGTGACTTCTATACTTCCAATGCAAAAAATCTTAGAGGAAATCTAAAAGCTTTATGTATGTATCAGGTCCAAATATGGCTCCGCACTAACATGTCAATTATTGAACACTACAAACTGCATTTCATACAGCATATGTTCAGAATTTATACAAATGTTCCATGAACTTCTTGATCTTTTACAATCTTAGAAGAGATCTTGACTTTTCTTCTTTTGATCTATTAATCTGAAGTTATACTAGCTAAAATTTTCTGAGTCCCTCTGGGACCTAAAATAGTAATACAAAAGAACTATTGAATCAAACAAGTTTCTACATGCACAGGTCATATTAACAGTATGTGAACAGACATGCAACTAATCTTCTCATTACAAGGCTTTACACTGCAAAAACTTGAATCATTTTTGGAGAATGGGGGTTGTGGTGATACAGAGGATAATACAGGCATAACTCTATTATTGTTTATTTTTTTCATAGTTGTAGATGGACAGCATGCTTTTATTTTACTTGTGTATTATGTGGTGTTAAGGATGGAACTTGAGCCTCACATATGCTCTGCCACTGAGCTACAACCACAGCCCCAGGCACAACTCTTGCACAAGCCCTCTACAACTGAGCTAGCTCTTTACTCAATCATTCTTAGTCTGACTTTAGTTTATGCTAAGCAGCACTTTATTTCATAAATCCTACAGCTCCCTTCAGTGAGAAATGAAAGGTACACAAAGTCTATCTCTGTAGATGTTAAGTATATCTCAAAATACCAAGTATCTGCAAATGCAGCTCAGTGGTAGAGCACTCGGCTGAGCATATGCAAGGCCCTAAGTTCCTCAGTACCCCATGCCCACCCCAAAAAAATAAGTATTAAAATCCAGAATAGTTCTTATAAACTAAGAGCCCATTAACTAGAACTACAGAGAAAGAAAGAAGCCAGCTCTAAATGAAGTTGAGGCGATTTTGTTAGAATTATTCCCATGGGTAGAGGCAGTAGGTACCCAAGTTCAAGGCCAGCCTCAGAAACTTGGGAGACCCTGTCTCAAAATAAAAAGGCCAAAGAATGTACCTCAGTAGGAAAGGGCCCCTAGGTTCAATTCCTAGTACAAAAAATAATAATAATAATAATAATTCTAACACCATTATTAACCCAATTTTCCTAAAACAGTTTTCTGGAATTTTCCCAGAAAATTTAGCACTGATAAGTAGTCTCATGCTTTGCAGTGGAAGACCAATTACTCTAACAGGTATTGCAGTTAGTATACAGTAAAATGTTACCAAAGTAGTTCAGTCTCAGTACATTGTTTGCTGACAATACAGAGCTAGGAAACTTACAGACTATAACATTTGTAACAACTGTTTTAATAACACTAATAAGTATTAAGAAAGTGACTCTCCCCTCAAAATGATTGACAGGACAGAGAAAGACCAACATTATGCTACACCCTTTGATCAAATATGTAAATGGTCAATTACTCACGGGCCTTGCCTGTGGACTCAAGTAAGGTTCAAAATCATCATCATTTAATCCATCCTTTTGATGTACAGATCCATTTTGTACTAAAGAAAAAAACTGCAAATTAACAAATGTAGCAATTCTACAATCTCCCTCCCAAGTCAGTCAAATATATCCTAGCCAGAGAAAAACATAACTAGTTCAGACAGCAAATAAGTTTGAACTTCAAAAGGGTAAAGATGAGAGGGAGGCAAGATTCCTGAGTGAAAACGCCTCCCTCCACCCAGCACAAGTTGATCTAAAAAAGGTCATTTTATTGGCTCTTCTAGATTACAATTCCTTCCCGCTTCCCCTCCCCCATCACGTGTGAGTTACTTCCAGAAAGTGATCCACGAGGATGAAAAACAAAGGCCTCCTAAGACCTACAGGAAACTAAGGACCTGGGGCATTTCAAAACCAAATCCACCCCCACCCTGAATGAATTACTCCTTGTTAGCGAAAAAGCTGTTCGCCAGCTGCAAGAACCCTCCGAAAGGGTCAAAACACTTAAGCGGGAGGCACCTGTGAACTAAGCGGCTTCGGAGAGGTCCCCTCCCCGGGGCGCTGTCCCGAGACCCCGCCCCCACCGCGGGGTCCCCCTCCCAGCCCGGGGCCACCGGCGGAGCGGGGCTTACCTTTGTTTCCTTGACCTTTGGGTCTCTGCGGACGAAGGGAACGTCGCCGAGCAGCAAGTTGTCCGGGAAAAAAAAAAAACGGAAAGGGAAAGACAATTGAAAGCAGGGCCCGAGAAGGGAATAAAGAAGCAGGCCTAGGGGAGGCGTCAGGAATGGTGGTGAGGGGGAGGCTGAAAGCGGGAGGCGGGGAAAAGCGCTAGGCCGGCGCGGCCGCGGGAGAAAAAGCGGGGGACGCGCCAGCTGCGACGCGAGGGAGCCAGGGCTTCAAGGAAGGGGAAGGAAACGAGGAAGGAAAACCAGGCCCGCTGAGGGGAGGGAGCGCGGCGCGGCCGGTGGGTTCCGAGACCCGGGGAGAAGCGGGAAGAGCGGGCCAGGCGCGAGACGCTGGGCGCGGCTGGCCCGAGAGGCCCGAAACCCATTCCGCGAGAAGCGCCGGCGCGGCTGGGCCAGACCGGGGGCGGCGGGCCCGGGCCTAGTCGGGCTCCGTCTCGCCTCACACAATGGCCGAGGCATGCGGGCTGGGCCTGTACCTGCTCCAAGAGGCTGCTGGCCGACATGGCTCTCGGATCCTCACGGGTGGCGACGGCAGCGGACTCTCCTCAGGGCGGCAGCGGCGGCGAATGAGCCCCGGCGGCGGGAGCAGGCGGCGCGGCGGCGGCTTTTGTCCCTGACACTCGGGAGCCTCGGCGGACGCAGCGGAGACACAGCGCGCGGCTCGGGCTCCGGCTCCGACTCGGCGACGCTCTAGCCCGAGAACTCAACGCCCGTCTCTATGCTTTTACGCGCGCGCCCGCCCCTCACAGCCGGAATAAGGGCGCCGAGCGGCGGAGGCGGGCGGCGCGCGCGGCGCGAGCGCTGACTCTCACATTCACTCACCCACGCGGAAAGGCCCGGCGCGAAGCACCCCGGGAAGGAAGAGGCTGGGCCGCTGCGCCCTCTGGTGGACTGGAGGAGCGGAAGCGGCCTCCCCACCCCCACCACCTCTGGACTGGGCCTAGGAGGATGCGGGCAACCCGGGTAGCGCCACGAGGTTTTGACTAACACCTGAAGAGAGGATCTTTAGCTTGAGGAAACCCACAATGGCTGGTTTCTCAATAAAAGAGCGGCAGTTGAAGCCTTCGAGACCTTAAATAAACCCGCTTCCCAACTACAAATGAGACCCCACCCCCATTTTGGAGGGAACCCGAGAGCCCTCCTCATTGAACGCGCGCGTCCCCCACCGCCGCCGCCCCAGGGAAACTTAATGGAACCTGGCTTGGAGGGACATCAAGCACCCATCTCTCTCAGGAAAATGTCATCCCCTGTTAGACTGCAAAAAAAGTACCCAAGAGAGTGATACAGGCCCCCCACACACACACACACACAAAAAAATCCTGCTCCTTCACCCCCCCCACAAAATAGAGTAGTCACACTTTGGCATTAGGGGATTCCCTTTTCAGAGAAATCGCTGACCCCAAAAATCTGTTAAGTTTATTCCCAGGAAAAAATACACCTCACACATCACATTTTATAAGTACTTCGAATAAGTCCAGAGAACCTATAAATCCATGGACCTTGAGAAGGAACTCAAAGCCAGGCGAGGTGGTGCACGCCTGTAATCCCAACAGACTCAGCGGCTCCGGAGGTGGAGGCAGGAGGATCGCGAGTTCAAAGCCAACCTCAGCAATTTAGCGAGGCCCTAAGCAACTGGAAAGACCTTGTCTCTAAATGAAATATTTAAAAGGGCTGGGGATGTGGCTCAGTGGTTAAGCACCCCTGAGTTTAATTCCCAGTTTCCCAGTACCAAAAAAAACATTCCCCCGAGTGGGGTGGGGCACCGCCTGTGAATCCCAGCAACTCAACTGGCTAAGGCAGGAGGGTCCCAAGTTCGAGGCTAGCTTCTACACTTCAAGCCCAAGAAAATTTATTG